AAAATCTTTATAAAAAAAAAGGAAAACTATTAAAATTTTAATTATATATACCAATAACAAAAGATGAATACAAGTCACATTTGACTTCTGCAATTTCAAGAGGTGCTCAAAGTGGTTACTATCAACGTCCAGACACTTCTGATTACGGTGAACTACTGCTTGAGCAATGTTGACCAAAGTGTCCACTTGTATACATTGTTTTTAGCATCCCTGGTATATATTCACAAGATGTAAAGTGTATTCCCAGGATGTAAAATACAGCATAGGGAATATAGTCAATGGTATTGTAATAGCTATATATGATGTCAGAGAGGTAGTAGACTTGGGGAGGGTTATCACTTTGCGAGGGGTGTAAATATCTAATCATTATATTGTTTTGTACACCTGAAACTTTTTTTAAAAAAAGCTTAGATCATTTACCCACGATCATATAGCTAATAAGTAATGTTCTCAACTACCTATGAGACTAGCTCTCCATTTTACGAATGTAGACACTAAGACTTAGAAAACCACATATGTAGTTTTGGAATCACATCGCATCCATCTGTACTTTGGAAAATTATAAATGATGCCCTCCAACCATAGCAGTTTGAAATTCAATGGATTGCATACACACACTGTTAAAGAGATGAACAAATAATTCTTCTCAGACTAACCTTCACTAGTTAGAAACACTATTATACGCCAGGCATTGTGCTGAGCACAAGGAATGCCAAAATACATTAAGATTGAGGCTTTTAATATACTCCTAGTTTCCTAAGTTAGTTAAGCAAATAAGAAACTACAGTGGCTAGGCCGGTGCTCACCAATGAGAAGGCCATGTTCAGTTTCAGCCCAAAGATCATGAAGCCCAATGGCGAGAGGCCAGGGGAGTAGGAGTCTGGCATCTCCCAGGCTCTGGAGCTGGAAATAAATTCGAACTTCAAGGCCTAGCTGAGGAAGCTGAATATAACAGCCAAGGAAATTGAAGTTGGTGGTGGACAGAAAGCTGTTATAATCTTGTTTCTGTTCCTCAACTGAAATCTTTCCAGAAAATCCGAGTCATGAATTGGCTCCTATTAATTATCACGTTTTACAAAACACTAATAAATACATATGTCAATTTCTTGAAATTAACAGTTCTCTAACTGAGATAAAGGAAATTAGATACTGATCTCATATTTTTTAATTTCCTTAAAATGCCCTTCATCAGTCCTTATTTTGCTTTACCTTTTCCAGTTTTTCCCCCCACAGATCATATTGAAATGAGAGACTAGCTACATAGTTTTGGTCTGGAAACTTAATTTAATGTCTAGAAGGAACAGCCCCAAATTCTAAGGTCCATTCTTACATATGACTAGGTTTGGAAGACATACTAAGCTTCTTTGATGAACTTTTATTTCCTTTGACAAAGATGTGAGAACTCTGAATCCTTCCTTTCACTCTTAAAAATAAAAGAGGTAATTATGGGCTGGCTGAGTGGCACGTTGGTTAGGAGTTGGCTTGGGACGCCAGCTCTGTGTATCAGGGCCCTGGTTCGGATCCCACATGAGGGCCAGTAACGCTGCGCCCTCTGCAGCTAAGATGGTGAACAACAGCTCGACCTGGAGTTGGGTTGTCATGAGTCAAAGGCAACGGTGTAGGCGGCAGTGCAGTTGGCCAGCAGCTGGCGTGAGCTGCCATGAGCCACCGTGAGCGGCTGTCCAATGGCTGGCAAGCGACTACCTCACCTGGGAAGAACACAATGATAATACCAACATGGGCCAGTGAAGCGACGTTCTCCACAACTAGACTGAAGAACAAAAGGACAGCAACTTGTCTGTTCCCCTTCCCCAATTCCCCAATAAAATCTTAAAAAAAAAAGAGGCAATTATCTAAATGTCTAACCACTATGCTGTACACCTGAAACTAATATAAAATAATATTGACTGTCAACTGTAATTGAAAAAATAAAAATAAATAAATAAATGGCAAAGAGAGAAACCCCAGTGTAGTTCTTCCAAAACAAAGCGGTAGGTGTCCATCTGTCAGACTACACTAAACTAAAAAGAGGTTTTTCATTTTCAAAATAGTTCTTAGCATCTTTAGCACTTTCTCCTTGTGAAATATTTATAGAAAACGTACACTTAAAGAGAATCAAAGCAGAAACATACAGAAATCCAAGCAAAATGCACCACCTCCATCCTCTTTTGTGCAAGATGCTCTACATTACCCTTCCCATAAAAAACGAAGAGGAAAATCTGGGGTTGAAGTAAAACACCCCTGCTATGCCAGCTGGAGCTAGAAATGTAGCTGTGTGACAGCAGGAGAGGGAGGATGAGTAGTGAGTGGTTCTGACTTGCTAAATTAGATACCAGAGCTTTCTTTCCCATTTATGTACTCCTAGATTCATAAAATGGAAAGGCCAATGAACAGCCTTTCCTATGTTTATTTTTCTGAGTAGTCTAGCCTATGTTTCTCAAGAATGGCTTGCGAATTCCTTGCATCAGAATCACCAGAAAGACGGGCCCGGAGACACTTCTGGAAGTAACATCATGATGGCACCCCAAGGAGAACCCCAAGTTCAATTCAAACTTGTTTTGATTGGAGATGGTGGAACCAGAAAAACTACATTTGTGAAACGTCATCTACCTGGTGAATTTGAGAAGAAGTATGTAGCTTAGCTACCTTAGAGTATTGAGGTCCATACCCTTGTGTTCCATACCAACAGAGGACCTAGTAAGTTCAATGTATGGGATACAGCTGGTCAGGAGAAACTTGGTGGACTAAGAGATGGCTATTGCATCCAAGCCCAGTATGCCATTATAATACTTTATGTAACTTCAAGAGTTGCTTATAAGAATGTGCCTAACTGGCATAGAGATCTCACACAAGTATGTGAAAACATCCCCATCATGTTATGTGGCAACAAAGTTAATATTAAGGACAAGAAAGTGAAGGCAACATCAATTGTCTCCCACCAAAAGAAGAATCTTCAGTACTATGACATTTCTGCCAAAAGTAACTAGAACTTTGAAAAGCCCTTCCTCTGGCTTGCCAGAAAACTCATCGGAAACCCTAACTTGGAGTTTGCTGCCATGCCTGCTCTTGCCCCACCAGAGGCTGTCATGGACCCCGCTTTGGCAGCACAGTATGAGCATAGCCTAAAGGTTGCTCAGACAACTGCTCTCCTGGACGAGGATGATGACCTGTGAAAACGAAGCTGGGGCTCAGCATCAGAAATCTAGCTTTATAGGTCACTGTCCTGTGATTTCAGTGGTCCAGCGTGTTTGCCACTTTATTACATAGGTAGGCAGAACGTGTGCTTAATCTTTGGGATGCTGAAGGAGATGAATGGGCTTCGCAGTGAGTATGGCAGTTAAAAAAAATGCCTTCATTTTTTGGACCTGCATATTTAACTGGTTGGGAACGTAGTTGTTTCCTTATTGAATTGCAAAGAAAAGTTTGGTCAAATAAATATTCCCAGCACCCATACCAGATTTAATGATTCAAAATTTGTACTATTTGGGGCCCAAGAATCTGCGTTTTAAAGATCAAACCAGGCGATTCTTACATACACCAAAGTTTGCGAGAATTGACCCCGTATTCTTAGCCTTTTACCACACGGGACTTCAGTTCCCCACTTTTTCACCAGAAAACAAGAGTTGCTCTCTTGTGAGTTAGTACTGGTATTATTGTTTAACAAGATTCAGAGACATGGCCGCTGAGAGGTGATTGGCGGCTCTCCCTTAAAGTACGCTCATTCCTGGTGAATTCTATATTCAGTATGGGAAGAGAGAGAAGAGACTTCGGATACTCGAAGACTAAGTTACCTCTGGATCCCAGAAATCATGCATAACTCCCTAATATCACGTTTCGGGACGCGTTCGGCTAATAAGCTAATAATGACTCCAGCCGGCCGCCGTCTGTCTTCTAGTGATGCAACGCGACGTACAGTCCGGCTGCTGTCTCCTGGCAAGATGGCGGCCCCCAGGAGTTTCGCTCTATGGGGCTACTGCGACCGTGGGTGGTCGCGGGTGTTGCGTGGCTGCCGGCTCCCGGGGTTTCGTAGCTGCTGGCCCGGGTGCCCGCTAGGTGCGCGGCTCTTGTCCCAAGATACGCGGGCAACGGAAACGCACTTCGGGTTTGAGACTGTGTCGGAGGAAGAGAAGGGGGGCAAAGGTGAAAGGGGCGAGAGGGGGGATGGAGGGATCTGACCGTCTGCGATTTAGTTTCTTCGGCCCAACTAAGGGCTGCCTTAGCGTTCGGTTAGCTTCCATGCTGTAGCTTGTGCAGTCCTGACCCTCCACCCCACCCCCCACCCCCAGCCTGACGCTGCATAGCTTAGACGCCTCCTCTTTTTAAGCCGGTTAATTATCACTAAATTCTTTCACTTTAGCGTTTATAATGTGCCAGGCACTGGACAGATATTTCCAATTCTCATTTAAACTTCTTGATTTTGTTCTGGACATTGTTATCCCCATGTTTCACATGAGGAAATTGAGACTTAAAAATTAAGCAAGAAAAAAAATTAAGCAAGAACTTGCCCAATTTAACATAGCTAGTAAGTGGTGGAACCAATCAGTATTCCAGTCCAGTTTGGTCAGTCTCCAGAGCCCACGGGTTCTTAACCTCTTGCCAAAGGCATAGGTAATTTTTTACGACAAGGAAGAAGGAAAGTATCTTCTCTTTGCCTCAGCTTCCAAATTTGCCAAATAGGAATAATGGTAATTTTTTCCTTAAAGTGTTTGTGAGGATTAGATTACTTCATACAGTAAAATTAAAGTGTTTTGAACAATGCCTGACACTTCATAAGTGTTCGATAAATATTAGGTATTAGATATAGCAGTTTCTTTGAGTCCAGCACTGTGCCACAGGCGTGGGAAAGGAAAATAACTTTTAAAACTCCAACTGTGCCATTTATAATGAGGGAATTACGCCCATTTTACAGATGGATATGGTGGTGAGGCTCTGAGAGTTTCCTTCTCTTAACCTATGGACACCCAGGAAGTAAAAAAAGAGCTTGCAATGGAATTTCCCATCATCTTAAAGACTAGTACATTGTATTACCTCTCACCCCAACTTCACTAAATACATAGCTCTTCTGTAACTCTTTGAATATTGAATTTAAATTAACACTTATTTCAGTGTGAATTCCCAGAAAGCTAGAACAGTGAGTGGCTCGTTTATGTCTATATCTTCAGTGCCTGATGCAATAATAGGAGTTTAATAACTGCTTGTCGAGTGAAATAAGTGGAGCCAAGTAAAACAATAGTAAACATTTATTGGGAGCCTGAAAACTTTTTAAAATACTTTACATTAATTCTTGTAAATACAATGAGGTAGGACTATTAGCCTGATTTTGTAGATGAAGATACTATTGAAACAGAGCCACTTGGCCGAAATTCTGCTAGTAAGTCACAGAGCTGGCATTTGAATCCAGGTGGGCTGCTTCCAAAATAGTGATCTATACTCTCTGTATTGTGCTTTACAGTATATAAACAACATGTCACACAATGACAAGCAGGGTAGGTGTTACCCACTGAGCTAAATAAGGCTTTCAGATGTGGGACCCAAGACTGAAGTACAGGCAGAGTCTTCCCTTTACATAGTGATGCAGAATGGTAAAAATGACCGTGCAAGCTAAAATCACACACAATGATCTTAATAAACAATGGGAAAAATTATAATTGTTCCATGACCTTTAAAAATTATTGAGTATCAAACACTTTTACCGTCAGTCATATATGTATAGAGAAATGAAAAAATAGTGAGGTTAATATTTCTTTAGCACACTGCAATTTTTAATTAACTTTCATTTCATTTAAATTAATTAGAATTTTTAAATTTAAGTTTAAATTTTTAATTCAGTTAAAATTCTAATAAAAAATTAGAAACATTGGGAATTAGGTTGTTTTATTCCTTTGTAAAAAATTGACCAAGAGTCGTTTGAACAGTGTTTGCTACCTTCTTGTCATATAATTCACAGTAGGGAGTGAGCATTGTCTCTATGGCCTTGGCAAATTGTCACGCTCCTTTCTAAGTTTCAGTCAGCTTCTAACGTTTTATTCTTTCACTTTCAATGTCATGAAATACCTCCAAGAATTTCTTTAATGTGAATTTTTTTGCTGGTATCATTTCCCCTGAGACATCTTCAAACTTTCCATCACAACCACATCTTCAGTTATGTCCGTAAGTCCATCTCACAGCTCTTCTGGCTGCATATCTAGAATCTCCCAGGTGGCAGCAGTATCAACATTCTCACAGTCAATGGTTTCTCCTCTAACTCCATGGACATTGTATTTAAATTTCACTTCCAGCATTATTTTGCTTTGCTTTTCTTTGCTGCACTTCCATTTTTGTTGGCCAATTTCCCCTTTCAATTATCCAGTTTTGAAACATGCTACGCGTGTTTACAACTGAACAATAAGGAGGTAACGCAACTACATGCTTTGCTGTGTGTGTGTGTGTGTGTGTGTGTAAACTAAATAACTGATGTACAGTGATCAACCAATTATAAACTGAAAGAAGTGACATGACTGGTTATTGATTATGATGCATGCCTGTTACTTACTGATTTGTGGACTGAAGAACTAGCGAAGTTTGTACTTTATGCAATTACTCACAGTTAATATACCATTGTAGCTGAATGATGTTGCTGGTGGACTGATGTTATTTAACTAAACCACTGAAATTTATGCATATCAGAACCATGCAAAGCTAGAAGTGCTTATACTCAGTGGGTTGAGCCTTAATGTCCCTCAATTCCCCCAAAAGATGTTCAGGAAAAAAAGCACGCTTCGAGACCCCACGGTTAAGAATAGGCATTCAAGAGCAAGTTAAAAGAGGAGCTCTAGGATCTGCTATCCAGCAGAGGACAGTAATGTTTTGGATCCATGCAGCACATTTCCTCTGAGGAACTCAAAGCATCTCCCCTTCATTACCTAATTCAGCTTTATGGCAGCCTTAAAGTGTCGTGGATAGTCAATTCCTTCTCTCTCCAGCTAGACCAGATTCCACATTCTGCCTCGATCCTGCGGAGAAGATTGACGAGGACACGCTATAGTGTGTCTTGGCCCTGATTCATATCTTGCCATCCGTCTGCCCACCAAATGGTACCCGAGGTTTTTCTCAGTGATGCAGGCAGAGATGAGATGAAGCCTTCCCATCCATTAGTCATGTGTCTTTCTAATGAATTTTGTTGTCTTTTCTTATAATAACCATTAGAAAAATTCCACAAATGTCCCCATCCTCTAAAAAACAGAAACGTATTTAGTACCAAGTATGTGCATGGCATGATTATGAGTTAGTGGTCCTGGATAAAGCTAATTAAGACAGTAGAAAAGAGGTTGAAGTAATATAAGCCTTTTTAAAAAGAGTTAATATTAAGGTGTAGATTTGAGCATCAAACATCAGGGCTTAGGCTCACCTTGCAAAGACAGGCAACTTCAGGGGGGAAAAAAAACCTTTTCTCATTTAGGACTTTTCCACGTTAATCTTGTCAAGAACATAATTGTGTTGTATTTCTCCCATGTCAGTCTATCAGGTGTTTGAAAGTGTGGCTAAGAAGTATGATGTGATGAATGATATGATGAGTCTTGGTATCCATCGTGTTTGGAAGGATTTGCTGCTCTGGAAAATGCGCCCGTTTCCTGGGACCCAGCTTCTCGATGTTGCAGGAGGCACAGGTAACGTCTCCTTTAGTGTCCTCAGGTACCATTGAACATCTTTTACAGAAATTAGTGTCTCGTTGGAATGAGCTAGCTTACCTCCCGTTAGCTTGAAGATGGCAATTGAAAACCAATAAACTCTAAGAAAGGTTTGCTCTTTTTAACAATATCAATCAAAAGCACAGAATATCAGCTTTGTACTAGTCACTTTTCTAAAATGCACAGGATTGCAAAATAAAAAGACCAGTTTTTTACTCCAGTGACATTTCACCATCTAAATGACTGTTTTACCTTCTGTTTAACATTTAACCCACTTTCCCTCTTTCTCTGGGGAAGATGCCTTTTATCCTATTACATAAGCTTCCTAGGCAGCCATTTCTGCTTAATACACTGTCACATCAGATATCAAAAGCTCAATTGTTTATGCATGCCCCTTTTGGCTTGGTGCACACTAGGCATTTGGGGAAGAAAAGGTCATGGGTTTCTAAAGTGCATCTTGATGATACCATTACATGGTTAATGTACCTGTTAAATTACATTACAGTAATGTGTAAAGTAATCATGTGATAATATATACTAACAGAATAATGTATAATAAATTATAGTAGCATAATCTCCATGTTTGAAAAGTGTATATGCGGCTTTGTTGGTGTGCTCCTCTCTCCAAATGGAAGTTCAGAAGGCAGTAAGATATCTTGCTCAGGGGAGGACAATTTAGCAGAGTCTTATCAAAATCTAAAATGCTTAGAGTCTAGGAGCCCACAATTCTAATTCTAGATATCAAGTCTAAAAAAAACTTGCACAAAGATACAGCTACAGAAGAGGTTCAGTCAGAGCTGCCTACATCTCCAGTGTGCCATAACCAGTGGCATGTTGACAACTGCCCATTTAGAAAATGTAATTAAAAAGTAACCCCATATATTTAAAAGAAGACATTTTTAAAAAGATATAGCTATAAATACTCTCACTGCATCGTTTTTAATAATAGTAAAAAATTAGAAATAACCTATTTATCCCTCAATAAGAAATGGCTTTAAATTAAGATACACCCACTATATGGAATATTATGAATGGAGAAAACCTATAAAGACTGATGGAAAGGTCTCAAAGACATTAAGTGGGAAGAAAAGAAAACAAATTGTATAGCAATGTGTATAATATGATCCCCATTTATGTTTTTAAGTTGTTTCATATTAGTACATATAAGTGGATTTAAATACATAGAAAAGTGGCTGGAGAATACCGAATTGGATGGAAAGACTGGAGAAAGGGTATATTTCTTCCAAATAGTGTTAGAAAAACAAAGATAAGGAAACAGCATGATAAACAAGGAAATGAGATCCTGAAAAGTACTGGCTTTGCCCAAACAGTATTTACCTGGTCACAATAATGTAAGTGCTTTTGATTTTCAGCTTTTGGACTCAAACTATCAACAAAACATAGAAGACTTAATTATAGCTATAAAACAAATAAAATGGGGCCGGCCGAGTGGCGCGATGGTTAGGAGTTGGCTTGGGACGCCAGAGGACCCCGGTTCGGATCCCACATATGAGGGCCAGTGACACTGCCCTCTACCAAAAAACAAACAAACAAACAAACAAACAAACAAAAAAGCAAATAAAATGTTACCAGTCTTGACAGAGTAAAAAGACATATGATGGAAGGTTAAAGGAGAATTAAGAGATACCATCTGTAGTTGATAGAATAAGAATAAAGTATTGATTAGTTTATTACTCTAGGTTGCAAAGGTATCTACAAGTATGAGGAACGGTGAAAAGTGATATAGATATATTGAGAAGATAGGGGCATGCAGAGATGGAAGGGAAGGATATCATTATAAATTTGGTAAGTAAAGAAACAGCTGTAACCAACAGAAGAAACAGCTAAAAGAATCGGGAAAGATGGCCTCTGGGGAACTGAACTGGGAGTAGAAGTGGTGGGGCATAGATTGTTGCTTGTAACTATACCCTTATGTTACTTTCATAAAAATTATTAGGAAAAGACTAAAGACTGCACACTAAGCTCTTAACACTTCTTATGTCTGGAGAGTGTAGGGACAGGGACTGTGACTTTCATGTTTTATTCTATATATTGAGGTATTGAGTCTTTTATAGTGAGAATGTGTGCATGTATTACTTGTGCAATTTTTTAAAAAGGAACTTTAAAGCATCTTAGAAATTTAAAAATTGCTATTAAAAAAAAAGTTCCTAGGGAGATGAGTACCAACTTCATTTTCATACACGCCTCAACTCCTGTACCTTTGTTGTCCCTTTTGGGTTTAGGAAATGCTGGGTTTTGTTTTCGTTTATGTTTGCATCTTTCCTCCTGTTGGCTTCCCACAGGTGACATTGCATTCCGGTTCCTTAATTATGTTCAGGCACAGTATCGGGGAAAGCAGAAGAGGCAGTTAAGGGCCCAGCAAAATTTATCCTGGGAAGAGATTGCCCGAAAGTACCAGGATGAAGAGGATTCCTTGGGTGGTTCCCACGTCATGGTCTGTGACATCAACAAGGAGATGCTAAAGATTGGGAAGCAGAAAGCCTCTGCTCAAGGACACAAGGCTGGTAAGTCCTACAGAAAGTAGACACGGAGGAAACGTTTGTACGTTTATAAAATAAGATGGACTATGGAAAATGTGGAAGTGCTTTATTTCCCAGCTTTCAAAAACGTGTAGCTAGGCAGGAGTTGAAGATAATTTGTGTGGGTGAATCCAGTTTGTGCTGTTATGTACATTATCTCAGGAACCCAGGAGTTAGATTATCTATGAGCCCTAGGTGACGGGGGAGATGACCAAAGCCCTAGGTGACGGGGGAGATGACCAAAGCCCTAGGTGACAGGGGAGATGACCAAAGCCCAAAGAGGCTAAGTATCTTAGTCAAGTAACACAGCTTAAATGGCAGATCCCACATTGGAGTGAATCTTTGGATCTCAGCTCCTGGATCCTGAGACAGAAGTGTTGCTTTTAATTCCCAGCAGCTCCCCAATGACCACAGTGTTCTATTCCTGAGCTATTCCATCCCCTTATCAGTGCCAGGGTGGTTTGATCGATGTGGAAGTGAGCCAGTGCACTGCCCTGAAAGAAGGGACTTGCCCTTCAGCCACTGGAGTGCAGGTAGCTGACAGCCTCCAGCTCTTAGCACCTTCAGGCTGTGTCTCAACTTTCCAGCCAGGCTCTTTCCTGGCAACACCCCGCTGATGGCTGAGGACTAGAGGGCCACTAGGGCCTGGACAGTTCCCAGGTGGAATTTTTTTAACAGTCTTCTCTGCAGCACTCCCTGTCAGGAGGCTGAGGCTTTATCAGAGCTGCATCAAGGTCTAACAACTTTCCCCAAGTCAGTCATGCTTCCTCTTTCTTTTATCTTTCCCAGGTGTCTGCCCCCTCCCCTCAAAAAACTTTTGCACTTCAACCTCCATATTTCAGCATTAGTTTCTCAGAAGGCCCATCTGATACAGTTGAAGAAACACCCATAAACTGTATAGCAGGTCCTCAAATAATTTTTTTTTTGGTTCAACATCATTTCGTTATAACATTGATGAGAAAAAAAAAATTGACTCCCAGCCGAGGCCACTGTCTGTATGGAGATAGCATGTTCTCCCCTTGTCTTCGTGAGTGGGTTTTCTCCAGGGCCTGGTTCCCTCCCACATCCCAAGGCTGTACACATGAGGTGAATTGGAGTGTATAAATTATCTCAATCTGAGTGAGTGTGGATGTGTGTGAGTGTGCCCTGTGCTGGGAGGGCGTCCCATCCAGGGTAGGTTCTCTGTCCTAAGCTGCTGGGAGAGGCTCCATCCACCTGTGACACTGAACTGGAATGATCGGGTTGGAAAATCATCATCTGACTTGCTTTTATTAATCTTTCTTAAATGTATGCATAGCTCACATTTATTTCAATGTTTAATATTAGTGTTTTGGGTCTTTATTTAGAAGTTTGGCGATGTTTTTGTGGCCAGAAATATACAGTAGGAAATTCACTCTTGTTTATATCAATTCGCCTATGGTAAAATCGGTTTTGTTATATGCCGTTTTGCTTAAAGTCGCAGTTTCCAGGAACCTATCGATGATGTTAAGTGAGGACTTACTGTTCTTCTAAACCTTCTCTACCACAGTACTCTCAACAGCAGACAGTCTCCTGGAGACTGCCTGTCTCCAGGAACCCACTCCAGGAACCTCACAACGGACAATTTGTGTCCTGGCTCAAAGATGTACATTTTACATTTGGCTTTCCGTTTGTTTTAATATTTTGAAACACTACCTCCCCCCCCACTCCCAATTTTTTCAAGTAGAAGTACTGATCTTGGCAGCTGCTTTTTACCTGTTTACCCAGCTTTTCAGAGCGCTGCACTGCCCTCTCCCATGCAGGCCAAGCACTGCACGCAGCCACTGTGCGAGGCAGTGGTGTACAGCGAAGAAAACAAAATCCCTCAGGTCAACATCAGCATTTCTCTCCTCCCCTCCCCACCAGGAGTGTCTATGGTTATTTCAGCTCAGTTCTTCCTCCTCCTCCTCCCATCCCCAGAAGGAGCTGCCTATATGAACCGCAGCTCACTGGGCCCCCCAGATAAAGGGCTCTTTTGTTAACCATCAACACTGACCAGAAGGCAGACAGACAGTCACTAGTGTTTTTAGACAAAGGCACTATGTTTCCTTACTCCTACTGGAAAACGTGTTTCCCTTCTCTCTGGTGCTCAGCCATAAGGCATGGGGAACAAAGACAGAAATGATAGGTAACGTTCCAGTTCTGGAAGCAGCTCTTTTGTAGCATGGCTTGCCCTTCAAGCTCTCCTACCTGCCAAGACAAACCCACTTGCACAGGAATCAAGT